CAACTTAAAATTTATTAACAATAAATAGAGTAACCCTTGTTATATTTGTATGCTTGAAACACTCTTAATTTAAGTGATTTGAAATAATAAATATTTCTGCCAAAATCAGTTAATAATAAATAAAACAACTTTTATTATATATATATATATTTATGTGTTCAAAATGTTTTTAATTTAACTAATATGAAATTTAGTTTCGTCAAGCATGGCTCCAATAATATCATTGTGGAATCTAATTCCCTGACTTTTAATAATCCCTTTGGACTCGATTTGCTCCCAGCTGTACGACAAGGAATCGCAAACCTTACATCATGCAGTGCAATGGTAGGATTAATGCTTAGATATTTTGACCTAACATGAGGGTAACCAAGAACTTTGCAGGCAATGGTCAATCAGATTGATTTCATCTTTTGTTGCATTTTTCATGGAAAAGTTTCCGTGATGTTTTCCACTGGAACGCCCAATAGGGAAAACCCCAGACAAAATGTTTGGCCTGCCAGCTGAATTTGTACAAAGAATCCTAGCCCTATCCCAATTTCGAAACTTTGATTAAAAGTGAGAATTGGTTTGGCATGTACTGCATCTTCGCTTGACGCTTTTTGGCTGTGTGCCCCCACATTTTTTAAGTGAGACATTATGGCTTTTCCCCCATGTGTGGCTCTTAGTTTGCTTCCTCTCCCTCTCCCACTCCCACCATGCATTGCTCAAAACAATTTTACATCATTCGGAAAATACAGCTGAAACGCCTCAACAGGCTAGCTCTGCCCCCACCACGCCTAATGGTGTCATATCGCCCCTTCGCTTCCGTTGTTTTGATTCAAGTAATTGGATGAAAAATCATAGAGTGGCTAATCGGCCCTACCAGGGTATAATTAACATCATTTTCTGAGATCATTTTTCACTTGGATTTCATGTAAACCTGAAAGCTAGCCTGCGCTTACACAGGCATTTATCAGAGTTATACCTAGCTAGCTATGCTTGTCGAATCCCAGTGGCCATCTAGAGCTCCTGGGCTCATCTAATTTGCCCATATATAGCGGGAACTTCACTTGTTCTGTTTGTTTGGGGTGCCTACCTAGCAGCTCATTTGGAGCAAAATCAGAATGCTACCATGAAATCATGTAGCAAATTAAGCAAGTAGTCATAGAAATACTGCTTCCAGAACGTGTTTAATCCTACAAAACCTTCAACAAATAGAGGGAGTTGAAGGCGTTTCCACTGTGAAGGTTTTGTAGGACTCGGGACATCGAAGTACAGGGCAATGGCCCACTTGGAGTTTTTCTGTAGTTTGTTGCCTCTTGTTTGGTTTTTATTCTGCTTTTTCGAAAGAGCTTTCAAAAAGCTTGCCCTGCTCCAAAGATTCATGTGTGGATGATTTTCATGGTGACTTTTTGCTTTTTTTCAATTCGAGCTTGATGGAAGGTGCAAATGTAGTGCGCCCCTGCAAGAATGGCCCACAAAAAATAAAATAAAATAAAATAAATTCTTGGAGTAAGAAAGGGCGCCCATTTTTTATTCTTGATGTCGTAGCTCGGTTGAGCATTGTTAGTCAGATTAAGTCTTCTATTTACTTTTAACTATAACCATCAATAGTTATGACATCATGAGGTATCTAGTTGTGTAATCCTTGTTGGTCCTATGTTCGTATTTAATTACCCTTTCTGAATGCACATATTTTAATTAAGACCAGTGCCTTCTTTTGTCATTTTGGCTACCTCAAATATATGTATATAAGTTAAAACCTAAGAGCTGTATTTGGACAACTGCATGTTACTTCCACAGATGAATAGACTGCTCAGCCACTCAGTTTGGATGGTAAAGTAGATACGTGGGAGTGTGAAAACCTGAAATCAAATAGCCATCAATCCGCAGTCACTAGCTAAACATTAATTTTGTTTTTCCTTTTCTTTTCCTTTCTTTTGAACACAGGCAAGGCATACAATGAGCTAGTGAGATAGCTAGAGATTGCCACATGAGGTTTACTTTTGTTACTTCCTGTCTACATCTCTTGCACGCGAAACAAGGTCTGTTAGGAAGTCGGGCCAGTGGATATACCATCTCGACATCTAGATTTTATTTGCTCTAATACGACAACCTTGAACACATAGGACTGGTGGCTGTGGTTAAGCTAGGAAAATCTGTAGCTGCATAATGGCTATGAATTGCCTAGGATTCAAACTTTAGGGACCCTGCTTTAATCTTAGATGAAATGAAACAACATATATACTTTATGAACTAGGATATATCATATATAGGAATATTTAGGGGCCCTGCTTTAATCTCTTGTTTTGTCATTTTTGCTTTGATAGAAAAATCTTCTTTTCTGTCAAAAGTGACTTGAAATAAACTTGAATGAACAAGTGGTATCCGGAAGACGTATGATCTGGCATCGATTGAGGATTAATATTTAATGGGTTGTTACCTGGCCTAATCGCTGAGATTTTTACCTTGATCATGTCGGTTTCTTGTAAGTCTTGTGAGCTTCACCTAATCGTAGTTAAGCTTTATTATCCTACTTGAAGCAGTTAGAAACCCGTCATCCGTTTCATAAATTTCAATGGCAATCAATGGATTTAGTGCGTGAAGAAGGAAGCTAGAGACTACTACATCATATCTATGTATACTCTAGACATTTGCTACCTAATATCTCTTCCCATTTTTATTGTTTTATCATCGATATATATATTGACCGTCTATTACCAAACTCATCTAAACTCGATTGATGAAGAAGCAATGAAAAGGAAAGAAACTTAATATATACTATAGGATCAAAAGCCCAAAAGACAGAGTACAAGCTAAAACTAATTCCAATTACGAATTTGAGGAAGGGAGATTAAGTTGGTAAGTAAAAAAAAGATGCTACAACCCCTGATCGTTGGGATAAGATACGATGAGTATTATTAGAAGACAAATTCTAAAGATTTCAGAATCCTTGGAGATGCCCACCAAGCTCCCTGCTTCTTATCTGAAGGGACTAAAGCCTGTGTTGCGCAGTTGTATGATGCAGCAGCAGCACCAAGTTTTTTGTAAATGGCTATGAATTGGCTAGTCTTGCAGCGGAGGTCAACACGCTCGCCATTGGTTTGCTTCCTTCTTGGTGGATTTCCATTTCGTAGCCCTCAAATTACATCCTTGCAGGTTGAGATGATATCCAAAGATTTTATTCCGGATATTATGAATCATAATGCTATATTTATATTCATGCCAACTAAGCTGACCCTGCATCGCTTATTGTATTTTTCTCTTTGCTTGTCACAGAGTTTTATCATTTTTTTTCCTTTAAAAAGAGAAAAAAAAAAGAATTATGAAGATATATATTAAGAGTATTGGTGGGCTCTCACATTCGTTGGCAATGGTTGTTCTCCAGTTGTAAGTGGGTTCATGGTCCTTTGACATTTATCCCAAGGCTCGAAGCCCACAAATCATGTGATTTATAATATTTATGTCATAACATCAGTACATATCAAGCCTGTTAATCCAGGGCCCTTCTGTCTCTGTCTTTTGAATACTGGCTTTGGGTGCTAGAATTAGTTCAAATGCTAGTTCATAAATGGATGAGGATTAAACACATTCCAAACCATTAAATATAGCCTAGCAGATAGACACATGATAAATGTCACAGATGATTTCCCCTTACTTAAGTTTTACTCTTTAACAGTAATCAAGGACCCGTAGAAAAAGATATAACACACTTTAAACTTGTGGGAAGGAAGAGTTATAGTAGAATGAAACAAGTGCATCAAATCGGTACAGATCACTTTAACTTTTGAAATGTCATTGAAATGTATCTCTTTTCTCAATAATTTGGTAGCGTGATGTGTTTGTGGTTCAACAGCCAAAAAACATAAGCATGAAAACAAAAAAGATACTGCATTCTGCAGTATGGTAAAACCTTTATTTTTCTCTTTAAATTTCTCGGAAAATAGAAAAAAAGAACCAATTATTATATGCATATCGCCCTGATAAGATAGCGTGGATTGTGTAAAGGTAGCTAGGTGGATCCGGACATGGTGTTTTTCCGCACGTACAGGGAATCCAAATGCCCTGTTTCATAGGTCATAGGCCATGCACTGTTCTTTTGGCCCATCGCCAACATCAGTTAGAGATGCTGCCCTTGCTTGAGAAACTATAATTCTGAACGCTTACGGTATCATAGCACGCTTGCATTATCTTAAACTAGTTGCTTTGAGTAGAAAACGAAAAGAGTTTCTGCTTCGAAATTTGGCTCCTCCAGATTCAGAAAGTAAACATGTTTTTATTGTTCAAAGAGAGAAAAATTAGAACTTGAGATATCTATTTTGTAAATAAGGCTGAAAATATTAATAGAGGAAAAAAAAAAAGAAAAAATCACACCACTAAAAGGAGCCCAATCAAGAAAGTGTGGTTGGGTAAGTTCTGTCCAATATTTTTATATTCATGGCCTGTTACAACTTGTCTATGTAGCTTGTCCTTTGAGCTGAGAAACGTGCTATTTGAGACCCACTGGCAAAACAAAGGGCTGGGAAGCGCCCGTGCTACTCCATGTTCTACACTCAGACGTTTCGGCCAATTTGTCTATTTTTCGTAAATCAAAGGATGGCCAATCCTGATGTCTTAACCGTCCTTTTTAATATGCAGAATTCAAGAAAGTGATTACAACAAGGAAAATTTAGAAAGTGTGCTCTAGAAGACTATAACAATTAAGGGCCAAGTTTTCTTAGTGACATTGGCTTGCGAAAATCCCCACGCAATTTGTTGTTGCCCTTATTAAGTTTGGTTGAAGTGTTGAAGTGGTGGACTAGATTGCCCAAGTTCTTTTGGGTGATTGCAACCCTGATGTTGTTGGACTATCGAGCCTTTTCCTCCTTTTCCCTTTTTCTGCAGAGAATTGAACAGTTACTACTACATTGTAATATTAATATGGAAGTTGGCCGACTTAATTTGGTTATGATACAAGTTTTTAACATTTCCTGTTGTTTATCTTTATCTCATGGGTAATAGAGGAAATGCCACCATGAACCAATAGCAATGCCAAATATTACACTTAGCTCAGAATTAATTGATGATACAGATACAGAGAGAATGGATTTATGAATTCTTGGCTGCAGATTCGGGTCAATTCTCCATCGTATGCTCTATCGAAGCATCAGCTTTTACCAAGAATTGGAGACATTGCATTGCCGCACCGCTAACTTGACAAAACAAACAAACTAAATGTCACAAGGTCGCCAGCATTTTCCTGGGACAGAATGAAACTTCTGTAGCTAACTTAGAGCTGTAGTACATCTAATATGGCACCGAGAACATTTCTGTCAACCTAGCTAGTTCTCAGAATCATCATCAGCCAATGAAACCTTGCTTAGTCTACTTGGTAATGTTCTAGCGTCAGTGTTTCTGACCTTTCTGCTTCCGGTGCTGCGGCGGCTGCTTGAACCATAAACTGCTCTGTGGGCAAGTGCTTTACTGAAGTGGAACTTAGCTGATCCCTGGCTAGAAGCTGATCGCTCTGTGGAATTCTCTTGGGCGTTGTAATTCTGGGTGTCCACGGTCTGATCATAATTGGCTTTCTCAGTTGCCATTTTATTCTTTCCTTTCTCAATGATTTGGAAGGAGTTTTGGGGAGAAGAGAAAGGCAGCTGGAAGATGCATGGAAACAGGGCAAGTATCTGAGTTTTTATAGAGTATTAAAAAGAAAAGATAACGAAAGAGCGCATCTGTCTTCTTGAGCTTACCCCTGATGACGGTGGTGGAATCTGAAGCTGGGGAAAGAGGCGCTTGAAGCAAACCTTTTTATTGCCGAAAGAGAGAAAATCTCTTTACCAACTAAGAAGTTATGAGTGTCTTTGAGGGGAAGAAACTAAATATACCAAAGTAGGATAATCGTTAAGGTATACACCACTGTAACCTCTACCCAATGTCATCTCTACAAGTACCACCACATCTCAATTTCAGACAGACAAATCAGGCAATCACCAAAACAACTAATGCCTTGCTTAGAGTTACAGGTATAGACCAGTGAGGTAGCAAATCAAGTTTGTGTGTCATGTTTGACAACACTTTTGTTAATTTCCTCTTTATATTCAAGTATTTTCAAACATAGCTTAAAACAGTTTGACTATTATTCATACTACCATACAGAATCAAATAGCTTGCTGGATTAATGTTTCATCGAATTAGGTCTCTCTCATTGAAAATAAAAAAATTGAATAATTTCTCACCCTCATACATGTCATGAAGCCTAGTCTCTTTTTTATTATTTTTCTAAGGAATTAAGTATTTTAGCGTGCCTTAGGATTAATTCCTGTCTTACTGTGCCACATGTTACAATTATCTTGCATGTTAAAAGGAAAAATCATCTTATCCAGCAATTGACAAAGGTCCATCAAAGGGTCCCACAAATTCAACCATTGGTCCGATGTCAGTCATTTTGGGTCTGGCAAATCAACTTTTGTCAAGGCTAATAGAGCGAAACCTTAGACCAAACAGTGTTCCATGTGAACTGTCCCGAGCTTTTGGACTAAATAACATGCTTGTCGCCCAATATGAATAGTGAGGAAGCCGCAAGCATAAAGCTATTTCCACCCTTTATCCTGTTGAGGAGAAATAGGAATGACCAAATATTGAGAAATTTTCGTCTTGCCTCTATCGTAAAGCACTTTTTAGGCCTGCGTGAATGGCTTTACTTCAAAATTATGTTTCACTCCTCCAATCACTGCAAGCAGGCAATCACCTTTGCCTGTATACGTCCAGTCATTTTCAAAACCCCTCTTGTATTTCAAGTGTAGATATTTAATGTCATTTGAAGGAGTGAAACACCGCTTAATGTCATTGGAAGCTCGAAAACACCAAATTTGTTCTAAGTATAAAAGTACCTATGGGTATTTAAAATGCAAAAACACTCAAAAATGTTCTAAATATGAAAATGACTAGAAGTATTCTAATCTCAAAAGTGTCCAAAAGTGTTCTAAGTGCAGAAGCACTTAAAGATATTTCAAGCGTGAAAGCACTTAAAACCGTTACAAATACGAAAATGCCCTGAGTCGCTCTAAATACAAAAATGCCTAAGGATATTTCAAACACAAAAACGCCCAAGAATGTTTTGAGTGTAGAGGTACCCAAGACATTCCGAGTAAAGAAACACCCAAGAACAAGCATTGAACTATTTATTCATAGAAGTAAAAGTAACTCAAAATGAATTATTTTCACATTTGAGATGTTCTAAATAACTTGACTTGGTAACTCAGACATAGAGATAATTAAAAAAACTTTCCCTTAATTTTTTTTTTAAGTACATATACTTTACTTTTTTTTTTCTTTCTTCTTTAGAATATACGTGACACATTATCAAATGTTACTATTTCATTACTTAAAACTTACGCCTACTACTCATTTACATTATTATTTTTTTAATATCTTATAAATCGTTCTTTAACTACTATTTCATGACAAACATGTTCTCTTATAATTGAACATGTTCTCTCCACAACTCTTAAGAATGTGCTCTTAATTAGTATAAATATAAAAGCAGAGGTTGAAAAAAAAAAAAAATCATTAGTAACTCAACAGAGATTATTTTAAAAGTTCTCTCAAGACTGCTCAAAACCTTCTTTCTATTCAATCCTTCCCATTCACCCGAATCCATCATTTCTTTCACTTTTCTGATCTCTCACCATCTGTCACCAACGCACTTACACTTAAAAGACTGCTCTAAGCTTCCTCTCTTCCACCTCTAGCCTATTCTGATTCACTCGTTACAAAACATCCTCTCTTCCCACCAAAAGAACCCTCTACACCAAGCCCTGCTAAATCCCATTTGGTTGCATATCAACTTTCTAAACTTGGGTAGACCGATCAATGTCTGTTCGTGCCTGCCCTTTGAGACTTGAACAGATCAGGGACAGGCTGCTAGAAATCTTACAATGCCAAAACAAAAGGTTACGCTTCGAATATGTACAATCGATTTTCAAGGGCAGTGTATCCTTTCAGAAGTGATGCAAAATGTATACATATCTAATATCAAAATTTTTGGTACCGTATTTCTTTTCTTTTTTTTTTTATTCTTCTAGAGTTTTATATATATGCCTTTCATGTGGAGAAAACCTGCAACAAGACACCAAAATAAGATCTGGAGCAATACAAATACGAGGGTACCCCACTTGCTTGAATGAAGCATGGCCTGTAACAATGATTCCATACCATCAACCTGCATTTTATGTTGATATGAACATAAGTATACCAAACAGATATGTTGACAATGAAAACCATTGCAGTGATTATGTTTGACACTCAAAAAAATCAACTTTAGAAAGTGCATGCAACTTGCAAGCGGTGCTTTTGTTCAGTAGCTCCTACATCTTTCTACTGTCAAGCTTGATGACAAGTTTCACATGAACGAAAAAGAACATTAGCGATCATAAATTCATTCGTTACAACATGACTTCCTTTATGAAACCAAAAGATGATGACTATGATGCAGCTGCTCAGCAGTGAATTCTTAAATTATAGATCTGTCAAGCTTGCAGTTTTCCACCTATTCTTTGGTAAATTATTGCTATGAAAGCAAGGATAATAAAACTAGGAACCCAGAAGAGAAGACGGAAAGATACCAAGTTATTTTCCGGTGAACGCCAATAGAAACCTTGCACAGCTGCTGGGAAAATGTCACAAGCAGCCAAAGCATATATGATAAGAGCATTCATTCCCATCCACTGAAATAACACCACAGGCTTTCTAAAATGTTTGACATCTACCTGCATGAAATACAATCAAACAACAGTGCTTAGTTGCATTCCTCATTACTTCAGAACTACAATCTCATTTACAGAAGACATTAGGCGAAGCAATGCATCATGAACATCATTAAATGAAACAGAGTTCAACTCTTCTTATATTTCTTTTGCACTTCTAACATACCTTTATGTATAAGCTCAAAAGCCCACAACTCAAAGAAAGGTAAAAGAAGGGCCTAGAATTGTTTTGGCTATATACATACATTCATGAATTTCCAAGAGGTATATTTAGGGGATTTGAGAAAATAAATCTCGGTCAAATTAATGGTTTCAACTAAGCCAACATATTGGTCGACTGAAGATGGAAACTTGGCTCACAATAGCCTTCCACTAGTCAAGGAATTTGCCTTTTATAATCAGATATTGCCTATTCTCATATCAATTAAATTTTCCAATCAAATAAATTTGAGAACCCGCTATAATGTCATCTATACTTAGACATCCTATAGCTGTCTGTGCTTAAATTCTGACTGAAAGGAATCCAAGATGGATGGATCTATGTTTCCTTGGAGACTGCCTTCAGTCTTGTCAATAGCATTTTAGAAAAGAAATTGTGATGACTTCCTTCAATACTGATTGGATTGAAATGTAAGACAACTTTATAAGAATAATCGCTTCAGGATAAGTCAGGTAGGCTATATATCTTTTAAAAACATGACATGGGATTTGTAGTACTAAACATGAAGATAACAAGCCAATCACTAAAGGAACTTACTATGTAGAAGATAATGGTTAAGAACAAGCCTGATGCTCCAGCAGTGATGCACATATAGCTCAACGTGTACAGTGGTTTGGAGAGAGGAATGCCTGTTACACCTACCAGCCATCAATTGTACAAAACAAACTGGAAACTCCTAGAAAATCGTATGCTGACCGGAATTTCATATGAGAGAAAATCATACACTGAACCAGATTGTTAAGTGAGACAACTTACCTAGCATCTCTAATCCAAATCCTAAAATTAGTAATGGAAAGGAAGACATGGACCATAAAAGTGCTCTCTGCATTTGTCCCTGAAAAAAATATATTCAGTGCATATTCACCAACATGGCATGCAATATCTTGGCATACCCTTTTTCTTTTTTTGGCAGGAAACTTAATGATATGAGTAGCCCATAGATACAGACATCCTACCAAAGAATAAGAAGAATGATACCTTATAATGCAGAAGTACATGTCCAAAATGCAATCCCACAAAACAAGTGAGGACAGCCATTAATGAACTGCAGAAATTCCTCTAGGGAAAAAATAAGAATTCCAAGTACACTACTGAGCAATAAGAGTGGTATATTTGGTATTTAAAGATCTTCAGTTGTGTGTGTACAGGTATGAATAAATATCAGAATGAGTACAGACTTTACAACTTTAATGATCATAATTAACAGCTGTAGTGAAAAATTAAAAACTAGATCAGAGAAGGTCAACATTTAACCTTAAGATGCCCTCAGGGTCAAAGGGTGCAAGGCACCATTCAGGTGAATCTGGTGGCAGAGGCCCATAGTCAGGAGAATTGACACTGCATTCCTGTGAATGGAAAAGGGTGCATGTCCTATTAACAATATGAAAGAAGGTGTTCCAAAAGGAGGCACCAGAACTATAACACAAAAGAACAATAATGGAATAACCTTTGTTCTTCTATAAACAGGCCGTTGATATAGATGCTGTTCACCCATAAAATACCGATCGATGTAGCCAACTGCATTGCATGGAGGTTCAAGACTCCCCCTGACTCCACAGTGTACCTATAAAAAAACATGGTAGCCTCATTAAGTTCCATGCAGCAAACGAAAAAGCACAACAAACTAGAATTTAAGCTTGGTAACGGAGTTTATTAGTTTCCGAAAGAATTATTCACAAGACTACAACAGAATACATCCAAATTATTAATTTTGCTATCCCAAAAGCAGTAGCTTCAATAAGTTTATAACATAATTTTATTTACTTAATATCAAGATTAAATCCAACAGCACAATCCTCAAATCATGAAAGTAATTTGTTTTTTTTTTCTATAAAAGACAATCCAATTGATAGAAAACCCAGCAGCCTTCGGCTTCCATAATTGTATGACGTGTCTACCAGATATGTTCATGACAAATATACTGTAAAAGTTCAGTTCACTTAGTTGCTTAAATCTATAGCCTGAGACAAGAAAAATATAGAAGGCGTGCTTAAAAAAATTACATTAAAACCATCTGGCAGATGCATTTATTGAAAATAGTACATGCAATATGATAGCACACACAAGGGGTTGGGCACTTCAAAAGGAAGTAACATCTGCAGCTCAGAGCAACCTAATAAACATAGCTTAGTCCCAACAACAATATTCTAGTCATGTTAAACAACTTTCAGGTTATTCGAGTTTAGAAACCTCATTGCATTATGAGCAGTTAACGGTGCAGACTAACAAAACCTTGAAAGTAAGTGCCACAGACCAAATACATAATTTAACTTACAATTTGAGTATGGGATCCATTAGTCGACAGATTCAGGCTTGGAGATTGAAATTCCCAGTTTGGAACATAAAGGCCATAGAGCAAGCACATGTAAAATGATAATAGTAGGGTAGCAACAATCCTACACAAACAGTAACGGTAAAAGTTTTGTCATCTAAAAGCTTTCAAAGTTCTAGAAATAAAAGTAGATACCAGACTGCAAAATCAATAACAAAAGGAGAGGAAAATCTCTACAAAGATTTCAACAAGCATAGTATTTCCTAACCACTGAACATGGTATTTCCTAACAAATGCTGTTGGACAGTCAACCACAACGTTGTAAACAAGCCAGATTTCTGATATTGAAGCCAGCAGATATCCAATTGATATCCTCTGCAGACAATAAACCATGAAAATGATGCAAATTAGCTTAATAAATCCACAAAAAGTCAGTATCCATATATTTAGTACATGAAGCAGATTACACTATGGCAATAATGAATTTGTCGACAATAATAGACAAAACAATTTATGGAGGCATAAGCAACTTATATTTGTTCAATTCAGCTGATGAAATATATCATTGAGAGCAGCAATTAGTCAAGCAATGAGCATGTGTCACAGCCTGCGAATCCCACCAGCATGCAGAGGGCTGGGGGGTGCACAAGGTAGCTTGGTTCAGATGAAAACCCCCGTTGCTGGACAGGAGGTGCCAAGGAGGCAGGCCAGGCAGCATGCAGGCAGATAGGCCACCCCGCAGGGCCAGGCAGACAGACTAGCAGCCCAAGCAGACAGGCCAGCAGGCAGCCCAGCCAAACACAATTCCAATAGCCAGTCCCCAGGGGCAGAACAGGCAGTGCACTGTGGGAGAGCCTCTGCAGGCAGTTTGAATTTGAAGAGCAGAGTGCTTGTAGGGAAAAAGAGCTGTTAGAGACAAGGAGCCAGAATTTGAACTCCCTCTCTTGGCTGATGTTAGTGGGGGACTTTGCCTATAAATATAACCCCCAAGACCCCTTGTAAATGTTGATGAGCCCTTCTAACTCTTCTTGCAATTGTGGATAGAATACACTCTTTGCCTCATTTCTTTTGTGATCCCTGTTGTGCTTTCTGTTTCTCGTGTTGGTGGTGTTAGCTGCACATATTTGGGCTGTTATTGGTGTGCTTGTGGCACTGTGGCTTGTGTTGCTTTCAAGGGAATATCTGCCTTGACTGGTTTTCTTAGTGGATTTAGGGTGAACTAACGGGTGAAACACTCAAGTAGAGTGTCCTTAGGCCACAAAGTGTGAGCCTTACTTTGTCGGCCGGTGACACATGCACTAGACAAAGGTAAGGAGCATTGCACGCCTTAATTTGTTGAATAAATATTCAAGCATGTGACTTGCAAAATGTTTCAAATAGCTGCCCTTCACATTGGAAAGACAATAATTTTCCATTATTCCCAGATTTAGTTCTATAAGGTCTTCTTTTCGATAAATAATATATTTAGCTCCAGTTTAGCATTTATCAAGCACGTTGCACAATTCACAAGAATAATTTGGTTGCTACCTAATCACATAAAATTAATAAATAAAACAAAAGAGAACATCAAGATAATTTACATTAAAAAATATTACCTGTAGTACACCTAGCCATCGTATCTTGACCACATCAACTCCATATGTTAAATTGTTACGCCCATGAAAATACCCACCTATGAGCCGATTCCAAAATATTAAAACCACAGCACCAAGCTCAATTAATTAGACACAAAATATGTGCATTTTATCACCTTTTGTCTTCAAAATTATCAAGTAGGCGACAACAGTGCATGTTTGAACTATGCATATGCATCCATAAATGATAATTAACAGAGAGCTTGGATTTACTTTAGCAATCAAAAAGTTGATCGATTGAGGTAATCCAAGATGAAAGAAAAATCATTACAAAATAGATTAAAATTCTCCTATCAAGATATGCCAATATTCCATGAGTTCTCAGTCACTCCCATCTAGACTTGTCAGAAGGTAAGAAAGCAGTAACTTGTCAAGAATACAATAGGTGAAAGTGGAAACCTTGTAGAAACAACCCCAGAAGGAAAAGTTTGATCGTCCTCAATATAACTTTCTTTGTAGCCAATGTTCTGCTAGAGGATTTCTGCATTGTGAAACAAAAAATGACCATATGTAATTAATTTGACTTGCTTCTATAGTAGCTTCTTTATATTATGGAGATATATACGTGCTTCTGCATTGTCTGCAGAATGCTTATATGCTTTTGCTGTTAAACAGGCATAAACAAAGGGAAAAAGCTTTCTTTAGTCAATGAAAAAAGAACAAATGTTAATCAAAATAGCAGCACGATAAACAAGTAACAGTAAAATGAGATGAATTGTAATACTTGATGCAAATTTAAAGTTTCTATGTGCTACAGATAAATTCAAAGTAGTTCCAAAGTCTCATGTAGGATGCCAGGGCAGAAACTTTCAGCATCATAAGGCAAGACTTTAGGAGAAGAATCAAATGAACAGTACAATGTCATGCTCAGTAAATCACCTAGAAGTTGATTAAACAACATTGTCCCCATAAGATTCAATCCTATGCTTAAGAATACCTTAAATACAAGGCTAATGGAGACCCCAACACCAAAAAGAAAAAAGGGCATCACGAAATCGGCGATCGTCACACCAAACCATGGAGCATGATTGATAGATGGAAAAGCCCCTCCAGCATCATCAACCAAAATCATCAACTATAATTAGGAAATGAGTTGAGAGATAAATTAATAAACCCATGATTTAATCCTCGGCTGCTTAATCAACGAAATAAACTTATTAAACTTAGTCAAATATCAGCTACTTTCAGTCATATTCACAAAGCTCATTCAATATTCTCAAAAAATGTAACATATAAAATGCTAAAACTTTCCATTTATGTATCTGCTTCAATTATGATTCAAGGCTCTCCCTATAAACAACTTAATCGTTTTTCTACCCAACTGCTTCCAGGCTAACTTATCACAGTGCTTTTCTGCTAAATACAACTCTCATATTGCTATTATTATAACTGTAAAAAAAAATAACACTTAGGCTGAAATTGAATTATAGATTTGTTTTTGTCTTTTCTGGGAGCGTACCGCGACGGTGAGGCCACGGAATACGTCGAGAGACAGGAGCCGTTGATTAGAGTCGTCGAGAGTAGGTTTAGGGGCATCTGGTTCGTTGGATGATGAGGAAGCGGCGATCTCTTCTTCGTTTCCGTCGGGGGAAGGATCGAGAAGAAGAGGTTGTCGTTGTTCTTCCCCTATCGTGATTAGAGTTGACATTTCTCTTGTTCGATGTTTCTCCTTGTTCCTATTGCGATTATGAAAACCACCGAAAGCGGCGAGACGGGTTAAGCTCGAAGAAGAGTTGCATACTAGCGTAGCGCCAGTGGGTCAATGCCAAACGGCATGGTCTTCGGCATCCTAGTAAGATTAATTAGGAACCATATCATTATTATTTAAATAATTTTAAAAAATACAGTATGTGTCTACACATATTAGTTTGCTTTAAATCAATATTTAAAATTAATTATTACGTCATTTATATGTAAAAAATTAATTAAGTTAAAAACCTGAACAGAAAAAGCTATTTATGGGCCAAACATAATAATCAGTGCGAAGCATTAACAATGAATTTGTCTTCTCTATGCTCATGTGACTCCAATTTCCATGCGTTAATCGTGCAATTGTTCCATTTTTTCACTGAAGTAAATTTTCCCCGCTTAGAGCAGGCTTTTAAAGAAATATTATATTTTCATGCCTCTCTTTAGCAAATTATTTAATAGTTCAAATTCGATACAAGGAGACCAAAAACAAAAACGAAAAAGAAAGGAATGTCAGGAAGAACAAACATATGAGGTGGTACGTTTGATATAACTATAGAAGTAGAAGATCTCGGCATTGACAACGGCCGCTACTCTGACAAAGCAGTTTACCAATCACCATCAGAAGAAGAAGTGAAGCAAGGCTGGTAATTAAGGCCACCCATGGAGGTGGAAAGGAAGAGGAGAGGAAGAAGAAGAAACGTTGCATGAACTCTACGGTGGTGGTTGCCATATTGCTCGGATTTGCAGCCCTCATCGCTTTTCTAGTGACTCGGAGCCGCCACCGCCAACCCCTCCCTGTCCAGGACAACTACTCCATTGCCTCTTCAACGGGCGCTTATGTTCTTTAATGCACAAAGATGTAAGTCTCTAATTTGTTTCTCTTCTTTGCAAACTAATAATTAATGCAGGCTCTGAGTCTAAATTAACCTTACTGGGGTTTACCTTTTTCTTTTTCCAAGTTCGTTAAACCAGTGAGAAGAGTATAAGACAAGATGGCATTATGGTAATGAATCTACTTAAACAAATACATAATTAGATCTTGCTATACAAAGTGTTATAATTTGGAAGAGGACTTAGAGAGAATATTGAAGGTCTCATCTTAATGGATAGCTTTCTGGAACATCTGAGCCCTTCTTGAATCAGTGTTAACTAGAAGTCTAGAAGTAGAAGTTAAGATGGAATATTTCTTAAATAATACATTTTTTTTATTCCTGACAACGGGCCTAAAAACGTAGTCAAAACTAACGAAAGGGGTAATTAGATTCCCTGTGAAACAAACAGACTTTAGTGTCATTCACAGGAAGTACTCTTCCTTTCCATGTTCACTATCCGGTTTGTTTATTTCGTCAAAATTTTAATTTATTATTGCTCATCAATGAATTTATGCCTAAAGCAGTAAGGTTAGCTTGACTACTTCATAACAGAAACCCTGTTTAACTTTCCACGAATCCTGATCTGCACATGTCTATTTGTGTAGTTGGAAGACTCCCAGCAAATAACAATGTTTCACGGCGGGGTAACTCCTGCTTGGATGATGGAAATGGCTATTTGAACGGACTAGAGGTTGGCTACTACGATGGCGGAGACGGAGATGCAGTCAAGTATAGTTTCCATGCAGTCAAGCATCAAAACTGTCAATGAGGATTAGAATGGAGGAGGGGCGGTAAAAGGCCAAACCCAAATGCAATTGTTGGAGCCGTGGTTGCTGGACCTGATAAGGGTGATGGTTTCCAAGATAATCGGTCCAACTACAATTACACAGAGCCAACAATTGCTGGGAGTGCAGGTTTGGTTGCAGCACTTGTGGCTTTGTTGGATGGAAGTACATCACTGATTGACAATAACACCACATCCTATGCAATTCCGCCATTTTCTACACTTCAAGCCCCACCCCCACCGCCCTATAAACCATGAGATGTAGTAGTATGCTATAGTAATACTCATTTCTTCTTTCAAGTAGATAATGCCCTTGTAGTTAGAGAATTTAGAGGCATAGTAATTTTCGTTGGTTAACTTGTTGGAGGACAGATTTCTGTTTCGGAGCTATGGTTTCAAAAATGTCATAATCCTGTTGCCAAAATTTCCTCGATTAGATACAATCTGCAGAATTGTGTATTCAGTGAACTTTCATTACAGATACAAAGGCCCACCATTAAATCCACCAAATGTGAAATCAGTATCTTTTCTAATAGTGTAGCTTGGGACAACCTCTAGCATTCAAAAGCTCACCAAACTTTTGAGCTGCGGTCGTCAAAGTGGCATCACTTTTGCAGAATGCAACCCTGATATATCTCTTTTGATAGCTGCAACTTTCCTCGGATGGTTGATCCAACGAAGACTCTGTGTGGAAAAATCCACGTCCTGGTACAACAACCACCCCTGCTTGTTTTATTAATTCCTTCACATATTCTACCTGAAAATAGTGTCACTTATTCCACCAGGAAAAATTAAGCATGGTACTGTCAACATAAGTTAAATTAGTAACACAAGTGGTTAGCTACTGATAGGAAGCCTATTGGACTTGAACAAACAATTTTTATGAATTCTTAAAAGATAGGGCTTTCAGAGTACAGCATTTACAAGTACTTACATCAGAAAGGCAGCAATTTTTAGGAAGCTCTGCAAACAGAAAGAAGGAACCCTGAGGCGGGAACTGAATTCGGAAACCAACTGAAGTGAGCAACTTCACACTGAAATCTCTTTTCAATTGATATTCCTGCCAATCATCAGGAAAATAATGAACGAGGAATCAAAGAAAAAAATTTCAATATATTTTGCCTGCATTCGACCAATAAGTATTGCAAATTTGCTATCAACTTTGTAGGAATAAATAAAGAACCATTTTCCTGAACCTACTCTTCTCAGTGTTTCAAAGTATTCAGAGGGGCTTCTCAAAGCAGTTAAGGCAGCTTCCTGGAAAGGTGCTGGAGCAGAATCTGTAATTTTGACATGAATGTTTCGAATTGCAGATGCAGCTGAAGCTGGAGCAATAGCCCATCCAATTCTCCATCCTAATAATCATAACAGTGAAAATCTAAATCCCAATTCCCAAATAACAGCCAGATGGAACATCTTCTGGAGGCAGTGACTGAAATTCAGGTTCTTTATAATGTGCAGAGGAAGATGAATGCAAAACATGTACCTCCAACAGATTAAAGAATGAGCATCTTTTTACTGCTTAAATCCTATGGCTATACTTTACCTGAACACTAAAGGTTTTAACAGAGGATGTTGATAATAGTCCGCTCCTGCATTCCTGGAAGTGAGGCAATGGACACATGCTTTTGATTGTCGAATGTTATGTATTCATATACCTGCAGAAACAACCAGCAAAAGATATACATAAAAAAGGGTCCTTCAAAACTCCCAAGAAATAATTTACTCATCTTTCTTGAACCTATTCATGCTTCACAAGTATAAGCAAAAGTGTTGTCATACTTCATCT